GTGTTTATTATTACGGAATGGGGTTGTCAGTCTTATGCCCAACCTTCCCTCTTTACCAGTCTTATTGCTGGCTCAGAGAGGTAATGGCATGCGTCGATCGTGACGTGGTTGGTGAGCATTCTACCGCAGTGGCCACCAACACACCTTGTGTAGGAGTATTTAATCTGAATGCGAGTTGAGCTTCTGTGTGCTGGTGTTCTTAATTTTCCTCTATTTGTTCACTTGACTAAAACATCCAAAAGATGGAATTTGCTCTCTGATTCTACTCAAAAGTTGTCCTTGTAGATATGATAGAGAAGATTGTAGCTCAGGTGGATGATTTAATTTTTAATTTAATTTAGTTTTTGATTACAGCTCGATTCCACACTGTATTTTTCGTACAAGTATGGAATTTTCAGCGTGGATATCGGTAGCCCAAATTTTGTAGGCCAACCATAGATATCAGGTGTGCGTCGGCGTGGGATCGAACCCGGACCATGTGCATGGTCGGCGAGAGTCCTAACCACTGTGCACCGACGCACAGTTGTGTTTTCTGAGCTGGATAAATGATTTGCGAAGCTTTCATCACCCTACTGGGTGACATCTTCAGCGCATACGTCAATTTACTGAAGTGAGCTTTTAGATTTCTCCACGAGTTTAATAATTTAATTAATTAATTATTAATTAAATTGAAGAAAAGTATCTCATGGACGTCTTTCAAAAGAATGGATATCCACAGAATTTCATCAAAAGACATATACCCCCAAGCCAACCTATCAAAGCAAAAGCCACCAAGGAAAACACAAAGAAAATCGCCTTACCATATATAAACGATATCTCAGAAATCACCACAAGCCTCTTCAAACCCTTAGGAATTAACGTCGTACACAAACACCAACAGAGTCACTTCACTCAACTGCCTCTATGTCAATCAAAACACTCAACAAGCATTATCTACAAAATAAATTGTAACTGCGAAGAACACTACATTGGCCAAAGTGGACGTTCCCTTCGTATTGGTATCCATGATCACAAACAAGCGGCCAAAAGACATGATATCCACTCCCTCATATTGTAACAACAGAAGACAAGGGCCAGGCAACAGATCATTTATTATGAAAATCAACACGTATTTATACATATTTCACATTATGCAAGTAGACAAGCGCAGTTATCTGATTGTTTGTTTATCAGAAGTTAGGCAGACAAACGCGGGCTTCTGATTGGTTGTTTCGGGATTCCTCGACAAATAGAGTTCTCTATCTGCGAATCATATTTTGCCACGTTAACTTTACTGTGATTGGTTGTTGAATCAGCCTTGCTCATATTTTCTCACGGCCTGCTCTCACCACAATATCACTTCACACAGACAACCACGGACATCAATTCGACTGTGACAACGTTCAAATATTAGACAGAGGAAACCTCAAGAATGCTAGCCAGAGAATTTTTAGAAGCTTGAAATTCCAGTGAATCATCAATCAATAGACACATCGAGATGAAAAAAATATATCAACCGATAAGAAAGAAACCTCACACACACACACAAAGGGTTAAAGTTCAAGTCAAAGAAACAATCAGTTCCAATACAAATGTAGCCTAGAGGGTTCGAAAACACACAAAAGCCACCAATCACGTCCAAGGTCAGCCACCAGGAAAGATGATTAATAAACTCGTGGAGAAATCTAAAAGCTCACTTCAGTAAATTGAAGTATGTGCTGAAGATGTCACCCAGTAGGGTGATGAAAGCTTCGCTAGTCAACTATCCAGCTCAGAGAACATAGCCACATCAAAAGTTGTTGTTGTATTCGGCGCAAACATTTGCTTGAACTTGGCTTTTTTTCGTGTTCACAATTATCAGGCTGAAGTTGACAACTTTCTTCGACTTCCAGATCTAAGTATGACACAGTGTTCGACTGGAAAAAGTCATAGCTACTGCGACTGGACACTAGCTAGTAATTAGAGTAATGTATCTTGTTCTTTCAGTCAAGTTTTTAATGTGACTACCATGCCAACAGGTGGCTTGCCATCAAGATGTACTGCATTGTGAATTATTGTTACTAGATGTTTGGAGGCGATTAGTAGGGAGCCTTAGACCTAGTGGTGACATTTCCAAGTGCAACACGGAGCAACGGGGGGTTCGAATCTCAGAAAGGACATGAGACCCTTCAAGATTACAGATACGCCTTGATAATTGACTGGTGAGTGCTAACTAGCAGGCCGGACTTCCTGATATCGAAATTCATAGCTTTTAATATATCGTTATGGTGACTAGCATTCAAGATTTAACTATTAAGGAATAAGTTTAAGGTATGAATGTTTCTCTTTTTTTATCGTACACAATAGGTTATCTGATTTGCACAGTATTTATGAGTAGATTTTATGGCAATGATTATTATTCTCTGAACGATGATTTCTCTATCTGTTATTTTTGTTTCATTTCACCTACAGCCACATTTAAATTTGTGATTCGATTTGTAAAAGTGCAAGAACCATTTTAAGTTTTAGCTCACCATTCTGTACATTCTGCATTTTATAATCTACCGATCACACACTGATCTTACTTCTCAGTTAACCAGGGTTGAATTAGGTGAAGCAAGATTAGAAACCAACACGCATCGGTTGAAAGTCAAATTTTTAAGGCAGTCAGCCACAAACACACACACACACCCTAATTTTTATTAGTTCTATATTTTTTTCATGAAATATTTCATCTTAAATTCACCGTGTCTAATGAATGCTGCAGATTTCTTCATTGAGTCGCCTAATCACACACACGCACATACACACACAAACTGTCTTAGTGTCAACAAGCGATAGCCATTAGTAGTTTTAGTAGAAGTCTGTTGTTCATTTACTCTGAACCTGGAATGCTAATTTATTGCACCAATTATTATTACATTATTATTGTTTCCTTTAGTTCCTAGAGTAACATAGGGCTTCAGCCAAACGTCTGCATTGTGCTCGGTTCTCTGCCAACGTTTTGACCTGGCCCACGTCTGCCCACTTCTATACCTCCATGTTACCCTTGCATTGACGACCAACTCTCCCCTTGCCATTTGGGTTCCACTCTAGAGATATCCTGGCGTGTAATGTCACTTGATGATTTGTTTTCTCAGAGTATGGCATCCAATCAGCCTCCATTTCTTCTTGCATATTTGTTGCACAATTGGTTCCTGCTGAGTTGATTTGCTCCCAGTGATCCTTCCCTGTTGCTGATCTTTTCTGACCAGCTATCTGACCTTGAGTAGTATTGTGTGAAGACAGTTGTTGATGAAGGTCTGTAGTTTGTTTGAAGTGGCCTTCGTGACGCGGCGCCAAGTCTCTGATCCGTATAGTGAGTAGCAGTGACTTCACATTGGTGTTGAAAATCCGGGTCTTATTTTTCATGCTGAGTGCTGAGTGATCCTACAAGGATTAGAAACCAGAATCTTTGGGCTACAAGATGAGATAACTGACCATTCAGCCATACTGAAATGGGATTCAACGATCTGTGAACTTCCATCAAAACGCCATAAAGAGCTACTGCTAGCCACTGCTATTGATGAGTATCTGCTTCACACGTAAAAGAATATAGTCCCACTGGCACCTAGTGCTCAATAGAACACTTCAGAATATCCATTATGTAGCAACTAATATGCAGGTCGACTTGTTGATGGCTGGCACTCACATATTTTTTGATTGGCTGATAGTCCAACCCTCATGTTTTCATCTCATTGTCAACTTTTAATGATTATATTTAAAAATCTTGTAGCTTGCATCACAAATAACTTTTGTCGTCATTATTATCATTATTGTTATCTAGGATTCCAAGTAGGACATACAGCTTCAACAGCACATCTATACTTTTTCCTATTTTCTGGGGTCGTCTGTAGCTGGCCCCTTATCCTCGCATGATCTCCTGCATGTCATCCTCGGACAAATGCCCAGCCTATTGTTTCCCATTTGGCTTCCACCCGAGGGCCAGCCTGCCAAGCCATGACATTCAACGGTATCCCCAGTGGCGTGTACCCAATCCATTTACATTTCCTCCTCCATATTTTTGTTGAGAAATAGGTCATCGCTTAATTGGCTTGTTCATTGCCAGAGTTTCTTCTTGCTGGCCAGCCAGCCATTTAATCCTCAAAATGGAGCCAGCTGTTGAAGACAGCTGTCAAATAATAGTCTGAATCGGTCTATTGGAAAAGAAGTGATTGACTGACTGACTAACTTAATAATTATGTTGCAAATCCAAATCTTATTATTTATGCTGAGGCGGAGTGGAAAAGATTTCCAAAATGAATCTGGCTTTGACATCTTTATCTACACTGTCGCGTGTAGTTGAAACGATGCTACCTAGTCAGATAAATGAAGGAAACAGCCTCTTCAAGATTTCTTCCGTTGATGGTGATCGAAGCTGGTTGTTCTTCATCACCTCCGTGTTTTCTGTCTTCACCTAGAATCCTGTCTTTGCTCCACTGCTTCTCACGCCTGTTTGTTGCTTTTCGCCTGTGAGTTTTCGAGTTTGTGTGGAATGAAACATAAATGATCCACACGAGAAATCCGGATCATCTAGAAACTTCTTATTGATGGTCCAGCGTATTCCTATCTTCTAGCTCTCCACATGTGGTCTTCTGCATAATCCAGTCGACCGCAAATGGGAATTTCATCATCAATGATAATAGGCAGTCAGCCTTCTCTTACTCTTGTATCCACTTTAAACAGCTCACTGAATTTTCCTTTGTGGATTACCTGACACATCACAATGTCATATAGCCAGCCATCTGTTGAATTAGGTTGATGAATACTTGAGGTACTGCATGCCATAGTGTTGGAGTAGTTTCCAAACTACTTCTTGGTCAATGCTGTCGAAAGCCTTTTCAAAGTTGATGAAAGTAAATGAGGTAGAGATTTAGACTGACAAACTATGCTCTTGTCTGTTGTTGTTCTCAAATCTCAGATGTCATGGAAAGTGAGTACATTTTAAAATTTAACAAAATGAAACAGCAAAAACCAATCTCTGTTTTTCTATAAAAACCTACTTGTTTTAACAGGTTCTGAAAGACGTAATAAGGCTATATCATAACCATCTGTTTGTAATTTTCGATGATAATTTGGATGAAGTACTGCAACAGTAACACGGTAGTCGATTTGCACATTTTCTTGATGAAATCTATCATGATCACCTAAATGTGCATAGATTGTACTTTTCATATGATCTGCTAACAGAACTGGTTTTCCAACTGGGATATGCTTATTTTCAACAAGAACACAATGTGCTGCTGTCAAAATCCATTGAGGTGCAATTAATGTACCACCACAGAAAGTAACTGGTTTTCGACGAGGCAATTTTACTGATAAACGAACCTAAAAAGAATTAAACATTGAAAAGGGATAAACATGAAATCATTTCTCAATTAAAAAAAAAATATTGAGCATAACTTTTTCATGTATGTAGCTCAGAGTCTCAGTGTGTTTGTGAATTAAGCAGTTCCATCATCATCCGAGCATTCTCAAGAAAATGTAGGTGTGGTGAGAGCTGTCTGCTAGGCAAAATTGGTAGACACCAATTTACGTCAATGTTTACGTCCAGAATCGGGGCATTAGATAAAACTATAACAAAGCTTAACCTTGAAGAACTCAACAACCAATCGCAGCAGACTTAGAGTGTGCAAATACCATTCGCAGATATATGGCTCAACTTTCTAAGGAATAATCACAAGCAGTACAGAATAACCTTCAGCAAGAAGACAACCAATCAGAAGACGCTGTTTCTCTGCTAATAGTAGCGAACAATAACGTACATAAAAATCCATAAATACCTGTTGATTTTCTCAATAAATGATCTGTTGTCTGGCCATTGTATTCTTTCGTTACATAGGGAATTACAAATCGTATAAAATCAGTGCACATTCATAAACATTTCTGAATTACCAATTCGTTTATCAAATCGTTCCTAGAAATCCCTGTTGCTGATCTTTTCTTGCCGGCCATCTGATCTAAGATAGATGTTTGATGAAGGTCTGTAGTTTGTTCGAAGTGCCCTTCGTGATGCACCAAGTTTCTGATCTTTATGGTGGCACTGACTTCACATTGGAGTTGAAAATCCGGATCTTATTTTTCATGCTGAGGAGTGCTGTTGATCTCCACACAGACTTGAGAGCAATGAAAGCTTGCCTTGCTTCCCCGATCTTTGCTTTGATACCCACATCATTTCTGTCCGTCTATATGTGAAACGATGCTTCACAGGTTGGTAGGTAGAGGAGGTTGCTTCTTTCAGCCCTCTCCTATTTATGCTGGTTGTTGTCTGTTGTTGTTACTGTTGGCCAGGAGTCTTCATCACCTCAGTTTTTTCTGTGTTCACCTGAAGTCCTTCCCATCTTTGACGCTTCTTCTGACAACACTTGTTGGCTTTCACTTGCATATCTTTCAGTTTGTGGAAAATCAGGCATATATCTTCGTCGAATTCGAGATCCTCCAAGTTTTTTGTGTGGGTCCATTTTATACCTGTTTCCTCGCTGCCTGCTAACCATCTGTCGCATTGTCCAGTCTACGGCTCACAATCAGGAAAATCATTGGAGATAGCAGGTAGCCAGCCAGTTTTCACTTCATAGGATTCCGCGAGTTTCCCGTTGTGGATTACTTGCAGCATGCTGCATTATCGTACAACTGTTGGATGTGGTAGTGAAGTAGTTTACAGATCACCTCTCGTTCGACGCTGCCGAAAGTCTTCTCAAAGTTAATGAAGCTGAGATAGGTACGTGACTGCTATTCCAAGCTCTGTTCAATGGTGGTACCTAGTGTTGCAATTTGATCGATGCATGACTTGTTTCTCCTGAATCCATCCTGTTCCGGTTGAAGTTTTTCATCCAGGACGGCGTGTTTGATTCTCTTCAGGATGATGTGGTTTAGTATTTTGCTTGAGATAGACAAGAGCATAATGCAACTGGCAAGTTAAAACATTTTTTCTTAAGTCGAAAAACAAAAGAAAAATAAGACGTATCAACCACTGAACTTACAGCCCATGGCCATGAATGTGGTTCAACTGGTTTACCGCCAAGTATTTTTGGTAAAACTTTTTGATCATTCGGACGTATACCGCATGTATCAGACAAGTTTTTTATGATTTGATCACCAGCTAACAAAGGAGAGAAAAAAGTGGTTGAAGAAAGTTAATCATTTAATCTCTAGCGTGTAGACACTTCAGCATATACTTTGCAGGATATGTTTGCATGTGTGAAAATATTGATTCAAAGGGGATCAACATTGGTATACCCATTGACTATTTGAAGGAACTCATATTGAGATGATCTCTAGGGAGCCAAGTCTCCTTCAATAATGAAATATATAGACAAAATGATGGTATAACTATTGAGTTCCCAAAAAACTTCTCTACTTGAATCTACAACTCACTGGAGGATTGTCATAGGTAGAAAACTGTCTGCCCCATTCACTGAAGAAAACCTTCTCCGTGATCGAATTCCAACTGACTTTACTCGTACTAATGTGAAGGATAAAGCTGCTACTGTTGATCTCATCAGCATACATCTACCAGTTCACCAGCTTCACCTGTGGAGTTAGGTATGTCGTCTGTACCCAGCCTTTGTTGTCCGAAAGTAACATCGAACACTTACTCACAGTGATGGTTTTATAAAGGAGAAAAAGATCCTTCCACAACACTAGCTATGTCCTGGAGCACCTTATCGAATCTACACATCACCATTGTTAACTTGACTGTCGTTCAAGTTAAGTTGAACTCTACTCAACTCCATCAGTTATATTATTTCAGAAGACAAATTTCGCGAGATGATATTGTCATTTCGTAGTTTCTTTATAACCGCTTTACAACTAACATGGTTAACAATAATAAAATAAAGTTCATGACAACTACTCAGTTAAATAAAAAACAAAAGTACATACTATTTCACAAAATTTACTTATTCAATTTTATTTTAGTCCCTGCGCTTTCTACCTTTACGTAATTTATTATCGAAAATTTACAATTCTAATGAGACATCTTTGAGATGTCACTTTTGTTACTAAGAGAAATTTATTAAGTATATGTGATTGTACAGCCTGGGAAGGATATCACCGAAAAGAGTAACTCTTCGCTGACGGCCTCTTTTCAGTATTAGTTAAAGTTTAATGTCTCTGAAGTGTAATATTGTAACAACAGAAGACAAGGGCCAGGCAACAGATCGTTTTATTATGAAAATCAACACGTATTTATACATATTTCATATACATTATTATAGCTTATGCAAGTAGACAAGCGCAGTCATCTGATTGGTTGTTTATCAGAAGTTAGGCAGACAAACGCAGGCTTCTGGTTGGTTGTTTCGGAATTCCTCGACAAAGAGAGTTCTCTATCTGCGAATCATATTTTGCCACGTTAACTTTGCTGTGATTGGTTGTTGAATCAGCCTTGTACATATTTTCTCACGACCTGCTCTCACCACACTCGTCCCCCCGTCAAATACGTGCGACTGAAGTCGGCTTGATCTACTTGGTGCAGGCGTCATCGTTGGCTTGTCTCGCTGTATCCATTTCTGGAGCTCGCTGACGTTCACGCGCCTCTCATTGTTCGTCATTGCGATTGTGTCTGCGTAATCCCATCTCGAAGTGACCATATGTGGTCCTTCCCACTTTGGAAACTGTTTGCCTGACCCTGTCGAACATTCGTCAGTATTTCGTCTCACACTTTCATATGCTGCTTTCACCCGACCTCCCAGCAGCGTCCCAAGTAGCAGCTCCATCGCTGACAGATCTTGAACGCCACTCAACTGCGAAGAAGCCTTGAAGTCCTGCCCGTAGATCCATATGTCTCCATCAAAAACAGCAGGGCATAGGCTTTCCATTTTTCGGTAGGCAGCGACACCAAATGTAACAACAGAAGACAAGGGCCAGGCAACAGATCGTTTTATTATGAAAATCAACACGTATTTATACATATTTCACATACATTATTATAGCTTATGCAAGTAGACAAGCGCAGTCATCTGATTGGTTGTTTATCAGAAGTTAGGCAGGCAAACGCAGGCTTCTGGTTGGTTGTTTCGGAATTCCTCGACAAAGAGAGTTCTCTATCTGCGAATCATATTTTGCCACGTTAACTTTGCTGTGATTGGTTGTTGAATCAGCCTTGTACATATTTTCTCACGGCCTGCTCTCACCACAATATGACTTGTGGTGACACTGTACCGTAAATTGGCGGAAGTTCGAGTTCACATTTCAATGGACTCCAAGCCGGTGTCTATAAATGATGAACTGCCTGGTATAACGTTATAAAGATCCAGAACTTAAAGTCTCTGGGTAGGGGTTCGTTTGTACCCCTTGATGAAATGTTTAAAACTGGGATGAATCTTCAGGTGCTCCACGTGTTTTAATTTTTTGATTATAGTTTGGTTCCACACCGTATTTTTGGTAAAAGTATGGAATTTTAGGCATATAATATCGGTGTAATATCTAATGGACTTTACATCTTTGTGAAAACCGTCAGGGAAACTCATCGAAATTCCCACAAAGTCAAAACATCTGAATTTGAATCAGGGTTTTGTTAATTTCTTTTCTATATGTCCTTTGATATTCTTTCTTTTGTGTTAAATTTTATACTACTTACCATTAGTAAGTAGTATGAATATATGTTTACCTATCAGACATTACATTGCTGTCGGTGTTTCACTGACTAAATGTATTTATACTCCTTCTGATCTGTAGTAATTAGTGGATCGCCTTTGATACACAGTCTTGTTGTTTTTCATATTGATGCCCATTAACTGTGCTTCTTGTCAGCATTCAGCCACAGATACCTCACAATTCGGGGTTTGTATATCATATTTCATCTATGATGTTAAACATAGTAGCTTATTTCAGACATATCCTGTATTTTGGGATTTTATGCGTCACTCGACATATGCTTTGATGAACAGTAGTTTGGGTTATCGTCTCGAATATCTTTTAGTAGAAATTCACAAGTTTTTTGATTATTTTTATCACTATCAGTCAGATGCGTACTTTCTTTAAAAAGAGATCTGTTTCGCGACTGAAGATACAGCATATTATCCAGAACTGCTCTTCATCATGTTCTACAGTTATATGCATCCAAACATAATAATGAAGGAATGAGGGTTATTAACAACCTTAATGTGTTGTTTAAATAACATGGAATCAATCAATATTATCAATAGACTACAATTCAGCAGCATTTGTGTAAGCGTGACAACATGCATCAACATGACACTACACACTGAGTGTCAGACACATTAGTAAAGATAATCACAATACAGAATTTATGAATTTATAGGTTTCATAGAAGGCAGACCAGGGGAGTAATGGTAGCTGGCTAACTGGACCTGTTTATTCTGTACACACAGATAACACCGGTTGTTTTAGGTGAAGCGCAACAGACTTTGCTATTCCTAGCACTCGGTACCGCGTACCCGATAGATGATGATGGAGAAGGATTCTTCAATGCTAGCTAGCTTAGTAGCCAGTGCGGACCAGGTGGTCTAATATCGAGCTACTGATGCATACTATCCCGCTTACAGATGAGACTGAACTGTAATCTATTCATATTATTGATTCACCTGATGTTATTCAAACATTAATGTTGTCAATAGCCCTATTTCCATATTAGTTTGTTTATTAGATGTATCACATAGTGAAGCAGTATCATTTACTGGATGACGTTTCGAACACAATCTAGTATTGTTCATAATCATATCCCCAATTATAACCACACGACTTCGAAATTTGAGTTTCTTTGTTCTCTCCTATTAGTCGAAGAGGCAGTAGAATTTTCCAGATATCTGGCGTTATATCATTTCTATTACTCGTATTCTCTTCAGATGATTCGATAAATGAAGCTACCGTTATCAATCCCTCCCTCCACCCTGCTATTACATTAGATTTTAATACTGTCATCCTATCCCATCCCATCCTATTGTATGGTTTTGTGTAATTGTATGTAGTGACTGCTATAGCTGAACTATTCTCTAGATTTCTTATCTTATTCGCGTTAACTAATCTAGATTTTGCTGCTAGGTTTTTATGCGCGGCTAGTCTGACTGTCCCTGTTCTACTAGTCTGACCTATGTATTTGACCTGACACACAATCATTCAAGCAGGGTATTAGATAAACTAAATGGTTTTGTTTTAAAGGCTCTACGGAATCCGAACATAAAAACCTACCAGCAAAATCTAGATTAGTTGACCCAAATAAGATAAGAAATCTGGAGAATAGTTAAGCTATAGCACTACATGCAGTTACACACAACCATACAGTAGGATGATGGGATAGGATGACAGTTTTAAAATCTAATGTAATAGCAGGGTAGAGAGAGGGATTGATAACGGTAGCTTTATTTATCGAATCATCTGAAGAGAGCACGTGTAATAGAAATGATTCAACACCTGTCCGCCTGGACATATGGAAAATTTTACTGCTCCTACGACGAATAGGAAAGGACAAAGGAAACTATAAAACTCAAGTTTCAAAGTCGTGTGATTATAATTAGCGATATGATAATGAACAGTAATAAATTTTGTTGGAAACCTTGTCATCCAGTAAATAATAATACTGTTTCACTGGCTGTGTGATACATCTAATAAACAAACTAATATGGAATTACTTACTACCACAGTGCCCAAGTTTTACACATAGATTAATAGCCCTTGTTCTTTCGTTATTATGGATGCATATAACTTCAGGACCTGATAAAGAGCATGTTGTCGAAAAGAATATTCATTGTTCAGTTGGTATTCAGTCTTTTTAAATTTCGAATGGGCATTTTCGACCAATTCAAATACATTGCTAGATATGATTTGAAAAGTTTCTCTCTATGAATCCACTGACGTTTTCATTAAGAAATTACAATTTGTTCATCTAACTAACCTTTTTGAAAATAACTATTTATAGAAACCATATTTCTTGTTCATTACAAATATGGTCACTGACTCAAATCCTTACAAACAAACTCATGAAAGGTATTCACTTCATATTGATATTAGTGGTGAAGGTGATGTTGTTGTCTAGATGGTCAATGAAGTCTTCACAATGAAGCCATCTACCTCAAAAAGGCAGAACTGCAAGCACTTAAAAACAGAATCCACATGTCTTTTCCATTACTCAGAAAGGTT